TCCTATAAAAACCTGCTACTGCACATAGGCAATAAATCTGTCTATATCAAGACTGCAGGCATTATATTGGAGCAGGTCCAGAGGAGGGCCATGAAGATGATCAGAGGGCTGGAGCACCTCTCCCATGAAGACAGGCTGAGAGAGTTGGGGTTGTTCAGCCTGGAGAAGAGAAGGCTCCAGGGAGCCCCTATAGCAGCCTGCCAGTACCTAAAGGGGGCCTGCAGGAAAGCTGGAGAGGGACTTTCTACAAGGGCATGTAGTGAGAGGACAAGGGGTAACGGTTTTTAAACTGAAAGAGGGTAGATTTAGATTAGATATTAGGAAAAAAATCTTCACTGTGAGAGTGGTGAGGCACTGGAACAAGTTGCCCGGAGAGGCTGTGGCTGCCCCATCCCTGGCAGTGTTCAAGGCCAGGTTGGATGGGGCTTTGAGCAACCTGGTCTAGTGGAAGGTGTCCCTGCCCATGGCAGGGGGGCTGGAACTAGAGGATCTTTAAGGTCCCTTCCAACCTAAACCATTCTAGGGTTCTATGAAGGACAAGGTGTTGGTGGAAAATAGTTGGTTCCTTTTTGTTTTGATAAGCTCCACAAAAAGCAGACGAGAGTGACAGTATCTCTGTGTCTGTATAGAAAAGTGCTGCATCAGTTGTGAGAATATTTTGTATTTTGTCATTCTGGAGACTTTATTAGTGTCTACTTCAAATGCATCAGGGACTTGCTTAACCTCTTCTGGAAACTGATTGGGATTAAGCAGCCAGGCAAACACCCGCAGGTCTCGGGGAGTGGCTCTTGCCCAGGCTTTCTTCCTGGTGATGGAGCATCCCCTTCTCCTGCCCAGCAGGACCGCTCTTCTCCAGACAGACCGCAAGCTCCCGCATAGCCGCAGGGGAAGGCTGGCCATGGCGAGTGCCACCAGCCCTTGGGGATGGCTGCAGAAAAAAGCAAGGGACAACTGGAAAAGAACTTTATTTTCACGCCTCAGCAGCCTGTGTGTTAGTAAAGAAGCTGCAGCCCAGTAACGAGTTGCAATAGATTGGTGCTCGGGGGTCTGCGAGCGAGAGGGAATGACTCGTGTCTGTGGATGTGCTGCTGAGCCCCCGGCACAGCTCCCGGGATCTTGCTCCGTGCGGGTCCTCAGCCTTTGCACCAGCCTGACCCTTGAAGCAGGCGAGTTGCCCCAGGCCCTGGGAAGCCAGCCCGTGCTCCCCAGCCCGGCGTACTTGTCCAAAACGTGGGTGCTTGTGGTAGCAGAAGACCGGACTGCTGCTCGGGAAGTCCTTTCCTGTCTTGTGCTGCAATGTGTGGCATGAAATATACTATTTAATTAGCTATAAAATGCAACATGTTCCTCGCTGTCTATTTTTATATGACATTAATATAATTATATCTATAATTAATATGGATGGTAGCAAAATGCTAGCCTGATAATTTTACATTGTCTTAATTAGCATTCATTTTTCTTTCTTAAGACGGCATGTTTTTCAAACCCGTCTTCTGTAGTTGTCCATTCAGACATCACTTATTCTTTCAAAAGATATAATGAAGCAGTGTATTGCAATTATCAGAGATGAGAGGAAAAAGAAATATGCAAATGGCAATACATTTCAAAATATAAGTATTTGCTTTCTATAAGACACAGAAGACAACATCTCTCTGAGGCTAAAAACATGTCTGAGGCTAGAAGGAAATGCTCGATGCAAATATGTTTAATGTAAAAAACCAACACAAATAAGTTGAGATTTAAAGTTGCTTCAGAATAAATGGTAATGGATAAATCTCTTAATAATGAGCGTAGTAAAAGATGAAATACGTGTACAATATATTCATATGAGTGATTCTTGAACCCAAACTGCTCCATTGAGCAAGAGATACTTTGTGCTACAAATGGTATCAGTGATTTTCAGATCACTAGATTATTTGGCCATTTCTTATTCCAGATATAGCATGTCAGCAAGCCAGTCCAGTTTTCTACCAGTAAGTAAGATTTTTGGTTGAAGGTATTTAGAAGAAAAGCCAAAGCCCCCGCAAAGGTTTTATTGTTGGATATTAATTGTGGTAGCTTGGTAGCTGAACCTTATTGTGATATCTCAGTTTGAATAATGGTTGTTTTAGCCCAGGTCTTCAATACCTCAAGTACATGATACCTTTCTCTCCCCCAACAAATAGATATATATTTATATATCTCTCCCAGAAAATAGGTATATATTTATAGATATCACAGCTTAAAGTTATAGCACCAACAGTCTTTTTGACCCAAATTTTCTTCTTTCTTGGCTTCTGTGCTTATTATTCAAAAATAATTTCAAAACAATGTACTGAAAGGGGGTTTTCAGAGGTCTGGATGAATGATTGAATAGGGTTGGTTTTGTTATTACATTGTTTTATTTTGAGAAGAATTTTCAGGTGTTGGTATAAATGAGAAGGTCATAAACAGTTGCATAATTTGTTTCTAAAACCTTTAGATTTCAATTTAGTCCAGAACATAGACTGCTCTTATACCTCTTTTGAAGAAACCTCACAACTGATCCTGATATTTTTTTTGGTAACCTTATGCACTTCCATGAACTTAGCCTGGTGTGCTAATATCAGCTTATCCAGTCAAGAGGATGTACATCTACAAAATAAACCTGTAATCAGTCTGATCAAGTGCAGACCTCTTTCATCAGTATCTACCAGGGTCAGGGTGTAGGCAGACACCTTTCTATAAATAAAACAACTGGAAAAAACACACAGATTCAGGATACAAACTGAAACTTGGGAAGTGCATGTGTGACAGCTTCTATGAATTTGAAAATTTGAAAACATTGCTTCTACTGCCATGCATTTAACGTACTCGAGTACCTGTGAATGCTGAGTTCTTGCTGAGATTTGCCAGAGATCGTCACGGTTAGAACGGCTTTTCAAAATGACACCCGTGTCTCCTCCTCGGTCAGTCCTCAGCTATCAGTTCCCTTTTCTAAATATTTCAGAATGTAACTGAGCGAGCTAGTACATAAATGGAGTTGCCAGCACCTTAGCTGAGGTTATACGGGGTTTTTGAAGGCTTTGGGACTTGCTTTTGCACACAGGAAAGTGGGGAAGGGAAACAGAAAATGTCCATATGAACACAAAGTGGCATTTTTGATGTGACATGGGCTCATTTCACCTCCTTCCAAAAGGACAACGCGGTTCAGAGGGTTATCTCAGCAGAGCACTGGCAGGTTGATATTTAAGAGTCTCTCTTGCCACAGGAGAGAAGCCCGAGTATTGGCCTGTGGCTGAGGTGGTTTTTCAGTGAAAGCAACACTTTGAGACCCTCAGATTTTATCTTGGTGATTTATACTGGATGAATAAGTGCAAAAGGCGGCTGGTGCTTTGCCGTACCCTTGGATCCTAGATTTTCACCCAGACAAGTGGCTGGCGAGTGGTGAATAAGAAATCTGGAAACTGGAAAGACTGCTGATCCTAGCAGCTCTTGCTGTCCCTCACGGCTTTGATTTGGACCTGGCTGCTCCGCTGCCACCTCGGCATGCTGGTTTTGTATTCCATGATTGCTCTGAAAGATTCCTCTGAATCTCCAAAATCCTTGCCTTTATTCCCTTGGCTGCTCTGTGCAGTATATAGGTTTTAAGAGTTACATGGGGAGAATTTCCTTGCGAAGCGTCGTGTTTCCAAGTGAAGTGCTATGTCCCGCCCTCTGCTTAATTCACTGAAAAAGTTTTCATTTGCTGCTTGATCGATTCTTCTTCCTTGAGTATGATTTAACGTTTCACTGGAAGTCTCAATGGATAGACATCCCCTGGGGCACTGCATTATTTGTGGTTCAGATCTCAGTCCTGGCTCTTTTAATTATACTGTAGTCCTTTCACAAGAGGAATGGGTTGTATAGGAACTCTGAAATCACCAAGTGGTTGAGGCCTATGTCCACATGCCGTATTTGTCCGCGCTTGCATTATATTTCTCTGTTAATTTAAGCATTGCCACATAAATTAATATTTTGCATATTTTTGACAGCACTGTTTCTCTGTTGCAGGTGTAGATACAGATTTATACTCGTCAAAACCTGAATGGGACATCAGAATTCTATCATTTGTCGTGGTCGCGACATTATTTTATTAACTGCAAACTTTCTCCTATTTCTGTTTCTACCGCGCTGGTACTGCAGCCCTCTGGCTCCAGCAGCAGACCAGGTGCTGTTGGTTTGTAGTGGGATGGTGGATGCTGGTGGACAGGCTGAGGCTCTGCTCTCTGATCTCCTTCTGCTGAGAAGGGACCGGAGGGCAGAAATAATTCACTTTTTGCTAAGAAAAGGATTTTCTGCAGGGAAAGCATGAAGTAATACAGACCCAAGGCTGTTTCCTAAGGCCATTTCTGGAGCTTTTGTGCTGGGGCCAGTGACGTTATGGAGGTTGTGAACAGTGGGCTCCTCGCTGGAGGCTTTCAATTAAACAATGCCTCCGAAACTTATAACTGGTTTGATAGAAGTTTGTTGAGGGAGTATTCTCTCATGTCTTAATTTATTTCCTAACTTAATTAAGTGACCCGATATTTCTGAAATATGCATGAGTATGAATCTTTAACATAGATAATCCTTGATACCCAAAGTTAAGGTAAATACTAGGAGGAAGACTTAGTTTAGGAAAGTTTGGATTCTTCCAGTGATGGGCTCGGTTTATCTGTTGTATTACAAGATCTGTGACATTTCTCCTGAAGACACTGATCACAATTACATGCTTGCGTAGAATTCCCAGGAGGTAAAACTAAGCGTATGCCTGGGTGATTCCTGGGCTTGGTCCCATAAAATTGCTGCTCCAAAACACGGTATTCCTTCTCTTACCTACAACAGACATTCACCAGCGGAGAAACTTGCATGACACACTCATGAAATCCAAGGCACCACCTCCATGTTTGGAGAAGAAAGTAGTTCTGCTCCACCGGAGTGAAAATTATGTATATTCCGAATCAGCGGTCGGTTAGGACTTCTGCTAACTCTTTGTCACTGCAATCGTTTTCTGTTTCCAGGTGTTTTCTTACACCGCTGACAAAGAGATCCGCACGGACGACTTGTGCCTGGACGTCTCGAGGCTGAACGGCCCCGTCATCATGCTGAAGTGCCACCACATGAGGGGGAACCAGCTCTGGGAGTACGATGCCGAGGTACCAGAGGGCTCAGCGACGGCACCCGCGCTCGCCGGGCAGCTGCCGCCTCGGAGCCGGGAGTTTATTCCAAATAGGCTACGGCTGTATCACAGGGAGAGGGAGTGCCGGTGGCGTCTCCTGCCACGGTGCGGGCTCAGGAGTGCAAAGTAATTCAGCTCGTTGCCAGGGTTTAAATGGTGTTTCCACAAAATTTTGGTTTTAGAGAGGTGAAAGAGTCGATTACTGTTTAGAAAAGTTCATTTCTACTAGCTGGCGTTGTCTTGCATTCTTACAAACTTAAAGAAGTATTCTGCATTTTTTATATAAATGCAGTAGAAAACAAGATTTATTTCTTTTTTAGTTTTTCCAGTTTATTTCTGCTGGCTCTTAAGGATTATTGGCTCTGTACTTAAATTGTGTTTAATCCTTTTCCATCTACCGGTCACCTGTTTAGTTTGGCGCTACCGTGGGATGGGAGGTGGCTTTTTCTGGGTTTTGAGAGGGAGTACAGTTTGAAGAAATTTGGTGGCTTATGAAGAGGTTGCAAAGTTAATACAAAATATGTGTAAATATCTCAGTATTTTATGGCCGAATAATTCTTTTTAAATGAGACAGTAAACAGCAGATGAAAATTAGAACATTCATTTTAAGCTTTTGCTTTGAAATGGGAATGTGCAATTTTGCGTGGTGAAAGTCATACAAATGTATTAGCGTTTTATTCAAGATAGGATCTTTCTAGCATGTTATGGTAAGAAAAAAACATAAATCTGCCATTGCATAGTACTGAACTGTCAAGTAGAAAAACAACGATACTTACCATTGAGGTGTAATTTATTTGGTAACTTTTGATACGTTCTTTAGTTTAACATTTGAATTTGAACCAATTTTCTCTTTAATGAAGAAGATTCTTTTTCTTCTTACCCAAAATGCATGTATATTTTGATAATCTTTAGGTATTTTTGAGGATGTTCATGCCTCCGATTAAGATCTGAGATTTAAGATCTTATGTCCTCCTTCGTTTCCTTCCTGCAAGCAGATGATAATTGATTTTTAACCAGTTTTAAATTGTTTTAAATAATGGCCATGCACAAGGCCCAAGGCAAGGTTCCTCACAAAATGCTCTTTCTCCACCAGAAATGTAGAGAACAGTTCTTCCTGATAAAAAAAAAATTATACTGCCAGTTGTTTTCCTTTGAATATTTTGGGCACAAGCTACTGCAAATGCATTTCCCCATTGAGCACAGTTTTAACACTGGCTGCCCAATGGTCTGCGCTTGCACAGCTCTGCTAGTCTCAGTTTAAAAATGCCAAATGAGTATTGGCATATTTCCATGACTGCAAAGGTAGAAAAATACTGCGAAGCTAGAAAAATACTGATGTATTTAAAAGACATATAGTCTTTTAAAAAGTATTTCCAACATTTCACAGAAATAGCTGCTTTCACCTTTCTGCATGGAAAGCTAAATTTCTTTCAAGCAAATATGCTCTCCTTTACTTTTAACAATGGAAACGTGCTGGTTTTTTAAGTTTAGCATAAGAGATCCACAATGGAAAATTTCCAAGTAGCTGTGTAAAACCAAAATCAACCATTAGGTGGAGCTCATAAAAAAGAAATACACCATTTTTTATATACGGCATCTCCGAGACAACGGGTTTGCTGTCTGTTCTATGTATAAAACACAGCCCATTGCATTATGTACCTTTCTATTTATTGGCAAGAATATTTTTGTTAACGGTTCTACTCTGTGAACGTTCAGACTTCAGCTTGCAAACTTCCCTTTGATGACAGTATTGGTATTTATGAAATGTTTATTAGTGTATTAATCGACCCTCCGTGGTAGTACCTGAGCATTGCAGGGGGGCAAATATGCTCATGCAGCTTTGATTTAGTTTTGCTGCTTGGTGATCTCTTGGGTATTGCAGGAAGCCTCCAAATACATACCTATATACAGTATGCAAATACATACCTAATACACAGCATTTTTTACTGAAAAAACAATGGGCTTGTGTTTTGTTTTTTTTTTTTCCCAGAGAATTAGTTGCAGCATGTTGCCTGAACCACTTGCACCCATTCATTTGTTTTTCCAGTGCAATTGCACTCGGTTTTACATTTCTTTACTTATTCAGAAATTGAGTGGAGATGATTTCTGTACGGTGGTTACAGACCACACCCCTCCTCCTGTTAAAGGTATTTAGGAGTTAAGACTCGGTAATGGCCAACCGTGCCTTATCCACATCTGGAAGTACAATGAGAGATGTAAATAATCATAAAAAGGAATTTCTCAATAGAGATTTTCAGACAATTTTCTTTGATCTACGTACTCTTATTAAATTTTCTGTAATGTTCTAGTTTAGTTTAAATTATGGTATTTAAATATATAATATATATAAAAATCATAGAAAGTCTTTTCCAAGAGTTTATACCTTAATAATATTACAGTTCTCTTAGATATTCCTAGCATTTATATTTTTTTCAAAAGTAAACAAGGAGCTGAGAAAGTTTTGTGGTGGTGATAAGAAAGAGAAATCTCCAATGTTTTCATACCTATTTGTGAAAGTATCAGATTTAACTGCTTTGAAGCAGGCTATTCAAAAAGCCCCTTTTCTCATTTTCTCATAACAAAAGTGTCTGAATTTGTGTGAAATGCTTTTAAGGCTTAGAATTATTAATACATTTTTACTTGCACTTGAGATGCAAGTTAACATGACACACTGGAGGAAAATAGCAATCAAAAGGTTTCAGTCGGTTTGTCAGAACAGAAAATCACTTGCTGAAGGAGAGGACAAGAATTGGCATTCATATTTTGGGTCAAAAGAGAGCTACGCTTGGCAGAGCTGAGAGCAATGAGATATTGACCCCAGCTTCAGTGCTGGGCCCTTGCTGGATTCACCCCAAGTTTTTTTAGTGCAATAGGTGACGTGAACTGAAAGAGGGTGAGAAAGAGATCCTAGAGGGAATAAAGTAGGATTAAAATACTCTGAAGTACAAGGAGTTTGCAGCAGCGGTCACGGTCGCCCATCGGCATGCTGTCAGAAGTGCAGCCTGCCTACTGTTACTTTTGGAAAAGTCATGTACAGTAGGAAGAGACCTGGTTTTCATAGGCGGGAAGAAGTTCTAAAGTAATTATTTGGATTAATCTCAAAGAAAATTACAAATCCCTCCCGCCACCCTCAAAAAGCCCCATGGGGGAGGTACAGGCACAGCAAAGGAGTGTTATACACTTGGTTGGACCAGAATTCATGGGCTCCTGGGTGGCTGGGAATGTGATTTTTGCTATTCTGTCAGAAACCCAGATTTCTGTTCTTCTCATTCAGAGGATCTGCTCTTAGGGACGAGTCAGTCAGACATACAGGTGGGTGTATAGTAAGGTTTTCCAAAGCATCTAGTATCTTTAAAAAAAGTCTGCCCCTGTGAATTGTATTGTTTAAAATTGCGATGAACCTGTTGGATTATCAGCTGATAACTAAATCAGTTGATAACTGAGATAAATCAGTTGGTCACTGTGTGTCAGCAAAGTTATTGAATGGGAACAGAGTATTTTTCATTGTGTCTTGTAGAGTTAAAATGATGGTGGTGTCTTTACAGGTATTATAAATAACGAGTACTTGTCAGGGTTTGTACATCTTTTGAAAAAGAATCCCAAAACACCATAGAACTGAGTTTAAATACTTTTTATTAAGCAAAAGCAGTTGTAGCTGAGGAGATACTAAATGCTAGCAGATTGCCACAGGTTGTGGCACTGAAAAACATCATTGAAGATTATGACATGGTTTTAAAAATTTAAAAAGGTAGATAAATTACATAGCGTGGAAGGGAACACTAGAGTTCCCAAATGATTGCTCTCACCTTGAAGAAAGCAAACATTTAAATCAGTATTTGCAAGGATTATTGTCATGTCATGTAACTAGATGAATAGGCAGAGAGTTAAATTATTCTTGCATCTTTCTCAAAAAAACCTTAAAAAAGAGTTTTATGAACTTTCAGCTTAGCAATAGGAGAATACAATAGAAACACGGGAACACCTCATCTGGATCAGAAAACGTACAGGGAAACGAGGAGGACTGGGCTACTTGGCACAAGTGCTGCTTTACTGCTGTGAGCAGTTTTGATTAAATCCCAACGTAAGATTTTGGGTGAGTTGCTCACAGCTGTAGGCAGGACGGATGGGCATGGCTGTGGTGGCAGGATGGCAATGTCCAATCTGAGTTGACGGATGCAGCTATAAATTAATAATTTGCTGATTGAGAGAGTTGGTGTAAGAAGAAAAGCTATTCAAGTAACTGTGTGAATAACCTCTTCCTTGCTTGGTATTTAATTTGCTATATGGAGAATATTTTACATTAAGCTTAAAGAGCAAGTTTAATTTTTTTTTTTTTTTTTTTGCAAAGCCCCAAGTTAAAAGAATCGAATAAAGCATTCTCTTTTAATATCTACATAAAATGCAAGTCCATGTTGAAACAAAATAATTTGCCATCAAGAAGCGATTTTTTTGTTGTTCAAACAGGTTTTCCATAATTCTGTTTTTCAGTTTGACTAAAGCATGACAGGTGCTGGCTGCAGCTCTGGGGCTGCCAGGTCTGGTCCCACGGGTCACGCAGGGTTGCCTAAACCTTTTATTCCATTGCTGTTTCCTCCAAGGCAGTTTTCACTGAGCTGCATCTTCTTCTTAAGCCAGTGGGATAAATTACTTTAGATATTACCTGTAGAAGAAAAAAGAAGCCAAATATTGATATTAATATTTATATAGTCTAAAAAGCCCTTATATGCACAAAATGTTAATGGTTTAGTCTGGATTTAAGGGAACACTAAATAAAGAAACCTGCTGTCACCAGGAGCAACAGCAGCAATGAGCTTCAGCCTGCAGATCACCGGAACGAGCTGTTTCCAGGAAGGGTACCCGAGTCTGTGCAGCTCTATCCATTTCTAATGCAAAATGGCTTTTAACACTTCAGGCAATAGTGGTTTACAGCATTTTTAAACATTTTTTTTCTGAATGTTTTTACATCTTGGCAGGAAA